ACTGCCCACCAATAAAACACCTCTAAAGTGCTGTATCCTTCACAATGGTAAGGAAGAATCAGTTAGTGGGTCTTTATTTTCCTAAAGGATGACTGGATTGCTCTATCACTATCACTCAGTGTTTATTGATTACATAATCAATACAGTGCAACACCAATAATGGTGCTTCTTAACTTTTAGGGAATGCAGAGTTACTTCAGGCTGGAGGACAAGATGGAGCACTAGCATCAAAACTGATTTAAGGCGGAGAAACAAATATTTACACGCGCTGTATAGTTCAGCTAGCCAAATCATGTTTTTCCAGACTTTGTGGTGTAAAAGGATCTCTGGGTAGTTTTTATGCCTTTTTCTTGCTACAGCATCTATCTAGAACCTGATCTACCACTGCTCCAAACTGTCGCTCCTTGGTCCTGGATGATTGTAGCCGGCCTCTGGGTTCATGCACTTGGCTCTTTTACTGAATTCTCAAAAGAGCAGTCAGAGTGCAAATCAGATTAGAGCACCCTTCCACTCAACACATTCCAAAGGTTTTTCCGTCTCTCTCAAGTGGTGTCTTAAAACCCCAGCATGGTTCTTAGTACCCTGACCCTTGTGGTCAGCTCGACTCCTTACACAGAGAATAGCCACACTCTGTATGGCGGCTTCCCCTGCTCCCCTCTTTGGTGACATTAAATTTGTCTTATCTTTCCTTTGGGAGCAGCATCACTTACTTATGTGACGGTGGTATTCCATAGCTATATTGCAGAGTAGGGCAAATGGGGACTATATCAGACAATCCATGTCTATGATCTGTAGAGAGAGCACCCGTTTACTTCCATTCTTCAAGATTTTTAATGGCAGAATATCTACAATTTCAACACCCTCTTCTTAGTGTACTTTTGCCCCTTCCTGGTTTTCCCTTCAGCATTTATGACTGTTTATTTTGATATGTGTTCTTCCTGTTGATTTCTTGTCCCACTAATATGTGAACTATTTGAGAGTGGGGAATGTTTTGTTTTCTTATATAGTGTTTTATTTTCATTCCCCGAAGCATTCATAAGAACTCAGAACAGTTCTTTACACATTGTTAGCCATTCAAAAAAAAACCCTTTGTTAAGTGTATGAGTAAATTAATATTATTAAAAATTTATACAATATCTGATGACATGTGTTGACTTTGGATTTACTAAAACTGTTGAAAAACGACAGAACAATTGATTGTTTCTAAATTGCCTAGTTTTCTAGGCTCTGGAATAGTCATGTCCCCACAAGGAGCTAATAATTGGAAGCTAGGTAATGCATATGTTAACGCCTGCATAGAGATTTGAGCATAAGTTTTGATTTTTCTGGGAAGAGGCATTTTTCATTTTTTCCCTTAACTATTTGTCAGTGAAACAAACAAAATTGAGGTTGGGTCTTCAATAATAAAAGAAAGAAACATTTAAACCTAAAATCTTTCCATAACTGACTGACACACACTATGAAGCTGTGGACATGGCCTT